AAGTTGTTTCTCACAAAAGCATTATGTAATCAGTCCTCAAAGACTCGCACTGCTAATGCAAATTTTGCGGTTACCATCAATATCCTCCCACCAGAGGCGTAACTACAAACCAGGGAGCCCCGGTGTGAAAGTTGCCGTGCCCCCCCCCCATAGATCTCCCCTCTTCCATACATCCACCCCCCTACCCTCACACACACATGCAGACAAACATATCCACATGCAGACACACACATAGAGACACACACACATAGAGACACACATACATACAGACACACACACACGCATACAGACACACACATTTACACACACACACACATACATACACACACACACAGAGACACATACACACACATACATATAGACACACATTTACACACACACATACATACACACAGACATACACACACAGAGACACATACACACACATACATATAGACACACATGCACACACACATACAGAGAAACATACATACAGACACACATACACAAACACACACACATACATAGAGACACATACATACAGACACACATACAGAGACATACATACAGACACACATACAGAGACACACATACAGACACACATACACTAACACATACACATGCAAAATTCTACCTTTTGGTTGCAGGAGGGTGACTTTCCCTGGGTTCCAGTGGTTTCTGAAGGCTGATGGAAGTCAGAGTTCCTACTCTAACTCCCTCTCCTTCCTCCTGCATGGCTCTTTCTGATAGCTGGAAGGAGTGACCTGGGCAGTCACTTCCTCCCAGCGTCTGACGTCATCACAGGTGGCCAGGTCACACTGTTAAAGTGCTGCAGTGCTGACCGGGGCCCCCTGGATATTCATGGCAATCGAATGGCTCTAACAGCATGGGCCACCCGATGGACCCCGTCAATGCGGCCCTGGCCCGCACGGTGTAACCACAACCGGTCACAGGGATCTGCAGGGAGGCCGGCCCCCTGGAGTAATGGACCCAGTCGCAGCTGCGACCCCGGCGACCACCAGTGCCTCCAACCAGTATGGCGTCACTCTGTTCCATATATGTATACTAGTCATGAAGTATAGTAAGTTTAACATTTCTAAAGAATGACAGTTCTTTAACCCCTTAAGGACACATGACATGTGTGACATGTTATGATTCCCTTTTATTCCAGAAGTTTGGTCCTTAAGGGGTTAAACATAATTGGCAATCACATTGAGAAAAGTAACAACACAAGGTTATCTATTTGTTCTCCTTTAACCCCTTAAGGACCACACTTCTGGAATAAAAGGGATTCATGACATGTCACATATGTCATGTGTCCTTAAGGGGTTAATCTCTTTTCAGAAACTTGCCCAGAGGCCTTCCTTGTCTGACCTTGACTGTGAGAATGTCTATTGCCTACATTAGGATGTAGTGGTTGTGGTGCTAAGATCATCAGGGTAATTAACTACATTGAGTGCAAAGTGAATTTCAAATTTAAGGTCAAAATAGCTGAGTCAGATATGATTTCAGTTCTGTTACTTTGGCCTTAAAAGTGAAATTTACAATTGCCTTCTTCCACGTGGATGATCACCTGTGCTTTATTGTTTATTGTTTATATTGTATGCTTTTTTTCTTGATGCCTTTGCGGATTCGTCCACGTACTGTTGTACCTCCTTTGATAACTTCTATAAAAATCGTCATATTAAAAAAAAAAATATGAAACACTTTGAATTTACTATGAATTCTCACGTTAGTAAATAACCCTGCATGTCATTAGTTACGACTCACTGGCATGCTCACTCATTCATCCATTCATTCACTCACTCACTCTCACTCTCTTTCGACCAGTCAAGCACAGAAAAACTCCATTACATACTGTTAATCACACTATCAGAAAAGTAAAACACAAAGTTTTTTTTAAGTATAATGTCCTGTAAATGTGAATGTATGGATGTATAAATCCAATAGGTGGACTTGTACATAATGTGAAATTAATTTACTGTAAGTCTACCTCCATCCTATCGCAGGTATATTTGTCTCTCACTCACTATCTGTTCTATTCTCCACACTGTAACCATGTTCTCTAATTCATAGGAATGTAAAACTTATGGTATAGAAGTTATGGTTCATAAACAATTATGGTGTTGAGTTTGTAACATGCACATTGTCGATTGCACGCTAGTTTGATTTTCATGTCCATGATTTTTTCTATTTCTTAAATAGACTGTACTTACTTCCCATTCAAAAAAACTCATTATCACAAGGCAGCCTTGTGTATGTAATGGAGCCTACCTCTCAAATAATAGGATTGTGTTATATTGAAGGGGATATTGCACACAAGGTAATAAACTTTTTTATAGTGGATTTTATGACCCGTAATAAATGAGAGTTGTACATTTTTCTAATTTCTAAAGGAACAATAAACACAGAAAGATACATATGAGATGCAGGTCAATATTCAGTTTTGGTTTAACTGAATGCAGTCACCTCTGTACCTTAAAAATATTTTAAATCAAAACTAATATGTTCCGATCTTTTCCTTGGGGCTCGGCCAATTCCCTTTAAAGTGCTTTATATGATAACAAAAGATGTCTTGTTTAAACAAATCATGCTTTCTCAATTTTTGTGTGCCCATCCCATCCTAAAATCAGGCAGCCAACACCCAGCTTTAATAAACTTGCAAAATAGAAGTGGAAAATCGAGAGTTGAAAGAAACGTAAGTTATGTGCAATGCTGATAATGATATGGCCACAAAGCTTATCTTAAGTGTTCCTAAGTGTTAGCTGAGATATACAGCAAATTCAGCATTTTATTTTGGCAGGGGCCTTTAATAAAAATAAGAATATAGAAAGTTATAGGGTCAATTGGTACAGTAAAAAACAAATCCTTATAATTTAATTGTTTTTAATCTTACAGAAGTTTTTTTTTTTAAAGGCTATCACAAAGCATGTAAAATGTGGGTGCTTGAATAATTGTGGAGGTTTTTTTAATGGGATAGCAACATCAGTTATCACATATAATGAGTTTTTGAGACTGGACAGCAGGTGGAGCTGTTACAGGTGTACATTGTTACAAAATAAAGTACCGTTTGTCTTAGCTCAGTGAAGGCATCTGGCCTCACCTGCAGGAAAAGACAAAATGCAGTGTAAGTTGTGAAAAATATCTATAACAGTTTAACATATTAGTTTACAGGAAAGGAAGAAGATCAGAGAACATGTGTAGGTTGCCTTTCTGATTGGGGTTAACCCCTACACTGAAAACCAATTGTTTCTGGGAGAGTCAAACCAGTAAGGAAAGGTAGGGTTAAAACTTAACTTTTATTATAAATAAATTAAAAACATAACACTGTCAGGATTATATTGATCGAGCACACAGAATAGTATCACACCCTAGAACTAAGGGTAATGTCTTACTGGCCCTTAGAATGGCCGGACTTTACATACCCGAGAATAGTCAGAAAACTAGCTGAGGTCAGGGACACCGAACAAGACACATCGATAAGGAAAAGTCAAAAGTCAAGTGTATCAGAAATCAGGGAAGTCAACATGAAGCCAAAGACAAAAACCAGAAAAACACGATCAGGGAAACCACGACAGGGCACTGACCAAAAGGTAATTTGGGTTTAAATAACCAACTTGAGGCTGTGTTTGGCTGTCTCTGGCCTCTGACCCCAAAACGTGTGCGCGCGGTCTATGATGTTACTTCACACACACGTTGGCGCCATCTTTGATGTGGGCGAAGGTGTTTCCTATTAAAACCAGAAACGCAACGGCCGGCGTCTCTAGGAACATCGTGCTTGCTGGAGACCGGAACGGAAGGAGGTCGGGCAGCAGTTTGCAGTGACAAAGGTAAGTATACAAAATCTCTGTCGGCGTGGCTGCTTAGTTTATGTACGGCCACGCCTGCAGAAGAGCGGGGAGTGACAAACACTCCATAAATTTCAAAAGGTTTAAGAATGTGTTTTTACAGAGCTGTCATGTGTGTTTTACAGTGTGTCTTATTATAAAGAATTGTGTAGCAAAGATAGGGTGCTTGTGAGTTTGAGATAAAACAATACACTGAACCTATATTACAAATAAATCAAATTGATTCTGTATATCAGGGAGTTCAAAAGAAAGATACAATTTGAGAGCAACAGTGGTAGAAAGGAAGCCCACAGGGAGTATGGTCAGAAAATCCCACCCCAATGAAGGTAATAGCACTATGCTTGAATGTGCCTTCGATGGCATTTGGCTGAGTCTACGGCTATCACAAAAGCACTCTTATCTACACTAAACTTGCCATTGTAGAGAAGATCAGTAGAATAATGACAGATATAAAGAAGAAGAAGAAAGTGAATGCCAGTCAGGATGTGGAAAGCAATTACAGGCACATTCTCTTGGATTGCTGTGTAGGCAAAGTTTTCAGTCTGGCATTAGCAGACCCCCAACCATCGTGTCACCGATCAGGATGCTGGAACATATTTTATACTAAATAGGGCTCCCACAGTATTATAGGTGAACTAGAACCCCAAATGGAATCGAGAGAGGAGACTAGATGTGATCTAGTTGTGTTTTTGAAGCTGTGTTTGACGATCCTTCGTAAGTTACTGTACAAACTTTAAGGAACTGGTCTAGAAGAAAAGACTTGTTATTGGATGGAGAATACCTTAAAAGTGTAATGCAAAGAGTAGTTGATAATGACAAAATGTTGTGCTTAGTAAAAGTCATTGGTAGACTATATCAAGGCTTCTACATAACTCACAGCCTATTATTGATTCTCATTGACGCAAAACTCCTTACACCATAACCGCTACAATAACCTGCAGTTGTTTGACATTATTTTAGTTTTTTTGCAAGCAAGTGATAAGCATAAACCAGAATTATCAGATCAAGGTGCATAATGGGATCAAGGTACATGAACATACTAGTGCCATTGAGATACATATCACAATGATCACTTATTTTGCACTGGGGAGGGTTAATACAAAAATTGATAGGTACCCCCCTAAGGTAGGAGGAGCTCCAGTGCAAGTTGGCTGCTTCTTTCCCATGATATAACTATCCCGTTTGTATGATTAAGTCGATTGTGTACACAATTTGGCTATATCATGCGCACATGTTAATATCTTCTGTGCTCCCAATTTATCTAATTATTTAGTTGCACAAAATAGTTAAAGCTTAAGCTATACTATCTTATGATCATGAACTACTAAATCATGCACACAGGATAACACAATGGGCGCTCTGGGACTCCGTACATTTCTAATTATATCATTATTAATTCATTAAAAGTCATGGAGAGTATCTTAAGTTAGTCATTTGACTGGGGAATTAATCTTAGAAAATATAAAAGTATGTTTTATATCTAAAAAAAAACCAAGTAACCTAACGTGTGATAAAGCCAGGTTTAGAGCATGCAGTCTCTATTCTGAGAACTTTAATTTGGTTAATTAGTGGAAATAGTTCTCTATTCTCCTTTAATTCTGTATGTAATTTTAAACATTCTAAAATAACAAACACGTCAAGAAGTAGATACATTCCCTTTCATTTACACTTGTTGACAAAAATTACTGACTTCATGTTGGCAACACATACGCAGCTGCTGTGTGAGTAATTTCCTTTCTGTATTTGGCTGCCCATTTTACCATTATATTGGTTAACAATGAGACACAAGACCATAAAAAATCAACAACAATAAGCAGTGATTTCCAACAGGTGACAATGACAATAGCTAAGTTACGCTATGGTGATGAGAAAGAGACAGACAAAAACATTGATAGGAGCCATTCTGAGATATATTTCAGAGAAACGTTAAAAACTCTTAGAGACTAACAAACAATGGATAATAGAAAAAAAATGATTTGGTTATTTCCTTCTGAATTTTCCTTTCAAACTAGGAGAGATTCCAACTTTTTATGTGTCACGATATAATCCCTGGCAACGGCATTTATAGAGCACAAACGAGAAACTAAGCTAACCTCGTTTATCATGGCTACCATCCAGCTACCTAGTTGAGTCACTAAACATATATCTATTACTGTGTTGATATTGGGGTTTTATTGTTACTGCAACTTTTTGTAGCAGGTTTGATTATTTTGTCCTGGTTCCAATATATAGTGATGGATACACATCCATTATTGGAAAAATTTTTTATTAAGAGTAATGCCAATGCATCAAAAATCAAAGAAAACCAGTGAAGCTATCCCTGAAGAAAGACAACCGGAGTTACCGGGACATTGGGATTGATATCAGTTAAACATTACGGTGATATCGGTCAACTTTAGAAAGAGGATACCTTTTCATTCTTACACCGCTATGTAAGAATGAAGTCTTGCTGGCTTCTTTGATTTTTGTATTATCAACTTAAGCCACAATTGTTGTGTCTAGAAGGATGTAGTAGAATGAAGTTTTGATTTCCACTGCGACTTTTTTCTCTTCTCGTCCCTATTTCTTGAGTTAAAGAGCAAACTGATCTTCAATTCTCCCTTGGTGTCCATGTAATTTAGGCCCTCCTTGTGTGGCTCTGAGTTCAGATGTCTAAAATCAAAGGGATAAAAGTGGAAAAGATTACATCATTTTCTGATAAATAAAACATTGTCATCCATTTCTACGTGCTGATGAGTTACAAAACCTTGTCTAGCCGTGGGGGATTCTATAGACTCAAATACCTATATTTGTAGTCTTAAAATGTCCTTTAATGCTTTTACATGAAATGAACATGTATGTTGAATTGTAATAAATGTCAGTTTATATAACTTTTATATTGGGCTTGAAAAATGTTCTTTATAGAAATTGCTGCTGATTCTGGGGGTCTTCCTTAACCCGTTTAAAACTGAGTAAAATATACACGTTTTGATCAAAATAAAACGTAAACAAAACTTGGAATTTGACTACATGTCTGTTCAACCGTAATTCACCTATTTCATATTAAGTGCACCCACACTTATTATATATCATTTTATTCAGGGTAAAAAGGGCTTTCATTTAACATCAAATATTTAGCTATGAAACATAATTTAATATGAATAAAATAAGAAAAAAATGTGAGGAATTAAGAAATTTATTTTGTTTTAGTTCTGAATGACATTTTAACTGTGAATGTCATAATACTGTTTGCTTTTATTTGTATTCAGCGATGTCTCACGTGTAAAACAGTACCCCCTGTGGCAGGGACATTAGGCGACCTTCTCGTTTCGTAAGTAACCCTCTCCCCCCTTTTTTTTTTAAATTCCCCACCCAATGTTGGTGCATGGGAAGGTCTATGCCCCCCTGTTATTTTTTGCAGTATACCATTTTAGTCACTAGTTTTAAATATTTAGTAGATAAACATGATTAAAGCCACCCTTATAGTAATAAAAACAGTCTCTTTGTCACTTGTGCCTTATTTATTTATCACTTTTTTAATGTGGTGGCTTATTTACTGCAGCGTGAGGGTCTTCTAACTATATGCTCGCTCGCTGCTAGCGCTGCCAGTTGGCAAATAGTTCCGATTTTTTTCACATTCGGGCCCAGATTTCAAGAATTTTGGTTTGGTTTTTACCAGGACCAAACACCACCAAACAGGTGAAATCCAAACCTAATGTTTCAAATCCGGATACAAATGCTTTGAATCTGGTCCGGAATGCAATGAATTGTTTGGAGCCTAATTTGCAAAATCTGGACATTGTTAAATAGTGTGAACAATATCCAGATTTTGCAGTCCGAATAGCCCCCTGTACCAAGCAGGTTTTGCCTGTTCAGTAAGGGGACTTTTGGACTTACCCTGATTGTTTCATTTTCTTTTCTGTATAATTTTCTTTTTTATAATCATTGTTTAGGTTTAAGGAATACTATGTTTATTAAAAAAAAAGATGTCGGTCTATGAGGTAGAGCACCCTACGCTGCCTCCGGATGTGACAGAGCTCCCCTACTCAGAATGAGTACCTTCATCAAGTATGCTTCCTCGCTGCCACAAGGGACAATAGATCACTTTAGACCTAGTAGTCGTAGCTTTTCCACCCAACCAGGCTGCAGCTCTCTCCTTCCAGGCAGGTATCGTCCCTTCTGCCTATTCCTCTGCAGCTCTCTTTCCAGGCATTAATCCCAACCTCTGCCTGTAATATGATTAGCACTTGCTTTTATGAAGGCACTTGAGTCTCTCAGTCTTTCAGGCCTAGCTCTTTTGACATTGTCCCATGCTACAGGGACAATACATCCAACCAACAGATCCAAATAATCTGTTACTGGGATCCTTGAGCAAATTAGACACAGGACACACAGTTCTAAAAAGGAACTATCATACAAAACTTTATATTTACTCGGGACTAGCCTATATGCCCATCAAACATCAAACTTGCTGTGACAAACTCAATATAATACAATTACCCAAATCACATCGGAAACATACAGAAACATAAAATAACATATTTATAAAGGGATATGGAAGACAATAACTAACATGAAATATCTCTCCTGCCTTCAGAATTCATAATATAAAAATACACCTGAATATGCAAATTAACAGACCTTGCTATTCAGGTAGTGCATATAGCCAACAGATGGCGCTGTATAAGCTCCCCAGCGAAATCCATCTAGTCGGTTGAGAGAATTAGCAAGACAGTAGAGAACACAAAACATTTAAAACCAAACAACCACATTTCCCACACCCTGTAACCACAATAGGCAGAGGGTGATTTAAACATAGGAATCATCTATGGGCCTTTTTTAAGTGTCCATCACAAAGACCATGACATTTCTGAATGTATATAGAATTGCTTTTTCGTATATAACCAACTTTAATTAAACCAAAACTGTATTTATTTAAAGGATAGCATGGTGGCCTTACCTGGTGCTTATTTACTTCCACATTTAAAGAACTCAAAAACAAAACATGTAATCGTCTTACATTCCCTTAAAAATATTCTTTCCAGATGTTTAAGAAACCTGTGTGTTAAATTTCAAAAATAGAAACTCTAATGGTTATTACCTGACCGAAAACAATGGCTCCATAAAAAGACGCATTTCCTTAGGTAAACAGGCAATGCATACTGAAAATTACTCAATCGTCCAGCACTGGCAGCTGCAAGCCTAGCTTCTGATGGAAAAGGAAATGCCATGACTTCACGGGAAGGAGGGGTTTGCGGTGCTTTGGAGATGTGAGTTTGTTTTTCAGGAATATTAGACTTCTAAACATCACAATTGTCTGATTTACTCTCACTTGTATTTTGTGCTTGAAGACAATTTGCAAAATAATATAGCAAGTAACAGTGAGACAACCCATCATCAGTTACAGTATAGCTTTCTATTAATGATGTCATTGAGCAATGTTCTGCAAATGTGTAAACCTAATCGGACAAAAAAAAAATGGTATTTTAACTGAAATGTTGTGTTTTCAATTTCTCTAATTGACAGGAAAGACTGCATGTACTGATGTTTTGTAATTTACCAGTACTGCCTGGTCTGTTTGTAGAACATATTTTTCCAACATGTCTCGATTTAATGTCAGCCGATAGGTGTTATTGTCAAGTCAATTTTCCTGCTCCCAATAAGCCATTTAATAGTTCAGATCAATTGAAGGCTTATTAGCATCTGAAAATGTTTATTTTGGATTACAAATCCAAAACATATATTTTCTTTTATTTGCTGGCATATATCCTGTTTAATGGGGCTATTGGCTCCAATAGCTAAAGCTGCTGATAATTTTTTTATTACTATTTTCTAGCAGGTCCTCTCCTTGCTTCATGTCTTGGGATCGGGTGGGAGCTTCAAACTGAAGAATGAGGAGTGGACAGGTCACTGTAGAACCAATGTGCTCGAGTTCATTGGTTAAAAAACTGAAGGTGGGCTCCTAACTAACTAGTAATACAGTGGGGTCATAATCCCTGATCCATGATAAGCAGGTGGGTGTCCCCACCCCCCAACCTCATTCATGTGTGGCAGCTATTGGTTATAACTAAATATAGAAGGAAGGAGGGTGGATGTGTCATTGGAGAACCCAAAAAAAGTGTCCACCCTTCAAGCACCCCTTGTTGACTAGGGGTCCCCAAGCCCCTAGCCACACCCCACCCAATTAGTAGGAAACTACCTCCCTCCACAAAAATAGTGACGAGAGCGACAATAAACTGCATACCTGTGACAAAAATAAACTTGCCATTATATGTCTTCTTTCTTCATTTATCTTCATTTCTTCAGACCCCAAAAAGGCTAAACAAAAATCCATACTGTCCAGTCACAAAATACGGTAAACAAATTTGTAAAATGCAATGCAATAAAATTATCAATGTGAGCCCTCGTGGGCTCAGCTCAGAATGAGCAAGCAAGGCTGTGAAGACCTTAGAAGGGCTTTCCTACACCATGCAATCTAAGTCAGAGTGCTCTGATTTTTCCTTTCTCTCTCAAGAGAGACAGGCTTTTTAGAGAGAAATTAAACTTGGGCTTTTCTTTTTCTTGAAATATAATTGTGGCAAAAATTTCTCTGCCACGAGCTCCTGCTAGCCTCCTGCCCAAGGACCATGGGTCATGTAACAGACCTTTAAAAGACTTGGTTTGTGTGGTTTCCTTTTTTAGTTCGGAAACCAAACAACCACACAAATTGCAGTCCACCTCTGGGCTCATAAACTCCTATTGACCTCTCCTGACACTTCAAAGTTCTAAGTGTTCGACTGGGTGGCCACGGTTAATGTGCACGAACACGTCGGAACTGAGTTGGTGGCCACCTTGTTCGCATAAACGCAGGCAGTGGTGTTTGGTCGTCGAGTGCATGCAACTAAAATCTGACACTCTAACTCGCAAACACCGCTGAACGTTGACGAACTTCTGCATCTTTTATATACATGTCAGAAGAGAACTAGGCGAACAATCGCAATGAACTAGGCGAACAATAGCTACCTAGGAGCCAGAGGGTGAATTCGGTATTTCATTCAGTTTTGGACTCCCAAAAGTGACCTACCGCTACCACTTTTCTTATGGAACTATTTTGGGCGGAAGCCACGTGTGGGGTCGGTCAAACGTTTACTTCCATGGAAAATCCAAACCACCGAACCGATCTGAATGCTTTTTGGATATTATAGGCACTCAGATCAGGGCTATCTGGGGATGTGACTCTTGAGGGGTTTTCATGTATTTTGGGGGTACTTTTAGGGTGTTGTGAAATTGTTGTATTTTTATGTACCTGGAGATAATTGAGTTTGTACAGTTCCTGACTCATTTATCTCTCAGGCACAGGGGAGGAGTTTACAGTGTGTATAAATTCTAAAGCTTTTCCTGCATTAAAGATAGCTACTCCCAGCATTCAGTCTCGACTAATGTGGGGGGACAAAGGCGATACCAGCGATATTATCCGTAGGAGAGTTTTGACCACTGGTAGCTGGATCCAGGACCCTGGTCCAGTGTGGGAAGCAACAGAGAGACCCCAGCCAAGCTGCGGCAGCTAGGGGCCAAAGTGCTTATGGTGTCCCAGCGATAGCTAGGAAGTGTGTTTGGCAGAGATGTATCCAGTCAGGGTACCAGGCGGTCCGCCACAAATAATTAAATGTGCAAATTGTACATACGTGCTTTGTAGGGTTTTTTCTATGCATTATTTAAATTTTTATTAAAATAGTTCAACTTAAAATAATCATTACTCAGTTAATGACTCAAAACAGCAGAGATTACCATGAAACCAGCGCATGTTTTAAAATCAGTTCACACTTTAACTGACAAACTGTATCTCTGGCACACTCCAACTAAAACTTTTGCTAGTGACTGTGAAAATAAATTCTGCTGACAATTTAACAGCCAAGCATCACATTGCTGCTGAAATCTACTCATTCTTGTAAAGCCCCATTAACATCACCCATTAAAGTCAATTGCTCAGCTGCTAAAAGAGAATTCCCTTAACCATGCATGTCCTCTTATGTTTAAATATGTTTAAATTACTACACATTCATAAGGAAAAAGGATTTGTTATACATCAAGTAGGATCTATAGCACAGACACTTAAAGCATATGTGGAAATAGTAAATATCTGTATGTATTTCCTGGTACATTTTGTTTGCAAAACATCAACACATTGTATAAACAGTACAATGATAAAGTAGCAAACCAGTGTCAAAACTGAAATATACTTAGCATCCATATATAATAATATTCCTTAAACTATCATAGATTCTACGTAAATATTAGGACATTCCCGTCTTGTACCCTTGACCCGAATTCCAGTAAGTCATTATTCAGAATGTAAATTACCTTCTCAAGCTTTTTTATTTTTTTTTATTTTATTTTTTATATAGATTAACACCTAAAGCAACGTTGTGAGAAATCACAGTAAATCGTTTGTTTACCCTCAGTACTAAATCTATACTATTTTCATATAGTAAATACCATAAATACATGATAGCAGTTTCCTCTCTTGATCCCTGCATCATGCTTCTGTTGTTTTTATTTTTTTTATTTGCAGAAGAAAGTGCAAAACCAGCCATAAAGTACAATATTGTGATAGCAAAAATACCAGAAGACTAGTAGTAGTTATGCACAAATCTCCATGATATGGGCTAAGCAAAAGGGATAAGAAAAAGAAAGGGATAAAGAAGATAAAGGGAGAGGAGTGAACTGCAAGAGAAGAAGGAGGAAGGAGTGCGTGAGCCACAACAGGGTTGGGAAAATTACCCAGTGACTATGGATTTCCTACCAAGGCCACCAAATCTTTTGGAAATAGATGATAGTGTTTCTAATATAAAGTGTTAATTTATCTAAGAGATGGTGGTCCTTAAATTTGAGTGAAACCATATCAATCAAGGGAACAGTATCCTCTAACCAACCAAGAACTAATGCTCTTCTAGCAGCACAAGTCATTTTGCTAAATAATTTCTGGCCAGAAAAAGTTATATTTTATATCGTATCCCTGAAATGATCATTATTGAGCGCATGCACTTACCTGTCTGAGTTTGCATCAGCTGTCATCACCGGGCATAGCAGAGTGACCTTCAGATTGGTAAGTGAATGTTCCCAGGATGACATAAAGGGACACTATAGTGTTAGGAAACACATCTATTTTCCTAATGTTACAGTGTTCTCCTCTCCATTTAGATTCAGCCCCTTCTCCAAAATGTAATTAAAGAAATGGAAAAAAGGATA